TCTCTGTGTTCTATATATATCAAATGTCTGGCACATGTTAATACTCAATAAAGTTTTTCTGAATAAATGAATGAATTTGCAGCTTGCATTCATTTTGTCTTTTACATCCTGATGAAAAAGATCTCAGCTATTAAAACCCCAAAGCCCATAGTTAAAGACGAAAATTTCATTCGGAAAAAATCACTTGCTGAAAGAGACATAATCCAAAAATCACCTATTACTGCTTTTGAATTCTCTATTTTTAATATGAAAACTGGTACCTGAAATAAATGTGTCTTAAATTAGTTTTAAGAACCTCTTTAGCCCAGAACTTATTCATGGAGGGGAATTTTATTGTTCCCAGGGATAGACTCTCACCTTACCTAATCCTCACATCATGTATCTTTCTTCAATTTGACTTTTCATTTCCTAATAAATTTATACTTAGCTTTTGGTAAAGATTCTTTTGCCCCTCTCTGCTCTTAGGTTAATCACACTAGACATTTTTAAAACATCTCCCCACAATATTGTAATGACCAACTCTTATATTTATTCGTGCTTATTTATGTTTTAATTTTTGATTCCTTAATATTTAAGCAGTTTAAAAATAAAAATATCAACAAGTTAAAGGCACCAAGATTATCTGAAGAGACATATTAGAAAAATATTCTGGAAGCTAAATATATCAAACTTTATTCATCCACAAAGGTTTTTTACCCAAGATAGCATACGAAAACAACTAATCTTTTTTTTTTTATCTCTCTTCAAATTACTGCAAGGTAGCACAGATATTTCCAAAAATACTTGTGAATAAAGCTTATCAGATTAACCATTTTCATGGTTATACAGTTGAAAAGAAAATGGAAAAAATATCCTCATTCTGAGACTGTTTCATCTCCCTGGACTTGACGTTAGCCAACCTCTAAAAATTACCGTATATCTCTTTGCAGAGGCACCACACTAAATTTAGGATTCCTCCCTCCACTGAGGAGAGGCCAGTTCCTCACCAAGATCAGGACCCCCAAATCTGCAGGGAATGCTCAAAACCAGGGCCTATCCAACAATTTTTCTTAGCCTGGCAACCCAGCTTGCTCTCATCTGTCACAGACATGCAAATCCAAACATGTCCTTTATCTCCTTTTTAAAAGTTTTATTTTCATATTTTCTTTAATTGTGCAGAAATTATCCTTTTTAGAAGCACAAAAGTTACTGGAAAAATTACACAAGGTGGCATTTACCCTAAGGCTGGTGTCATCATTCCCTAGCATCTCAGAAGCAAGGATAGATTTACTAGTAAGAACTCCACTGTGCCCGCCTAAAAGCAAGTGAAACAGAGGCTAATGGTAAATGCCTTCAATACTTTTTGGAAAAAAAAATCCATCAAAGGTTTAGCTGCATGATATTTATAACAGCCTTACTGTTCTCTTTCAAAAACTGAAATGGCCTTCTCCGACACTCGAAAAAAATCGCTTGTGCTTTTCATCTTTCCGTCTTAGAGTGTAAACATTGTTTTGAGTGAAAAGAGCTGAAGGAGCGCTTACTTTCCCTTGAAATTTTATTTTTAAATAAGAGAGGGAGAAAATCCTTTTTCTGACTAATACTAATAATACAGGTCAAAGTGTCAGGCGATATACAATTAAATGGAAAACAAAAAAGGTTCCCCCTCTTTTTCCCACAGCACAATGGCACTGGAATATAAATTACCGATGAAGATGAAATAATACTTCAAAGCCTGTAGGGCAGGGCAGTGCAGTGTTTACAAAGTATTTTCTAGGGCATGATGAGACATTAAAGATGACGGTAACCCATGGACTTGAGGGTGTTATTGAATAGTCTCAAACTAGCATGAGGTAGGATTTTAGGTCCCTATAGCCTGTGACCCCATGATATGCTTTGTTTCATAGGGCAGCTGCAGTTATCAACAGATGTTTCAGCAATAAATAATTGGTATCATCTCGGAAAAGACCCATCTACCTGGGGAGAGGGCATAATACCAAAAACACTGCCTAGCTATTACAGCCACATTAATCTCCCATCTCTCCAGGTTTCTTGGGGAGCGTACTGCAGGTGTTTTTTCTGGGAGAGAGGGAACAAACTCTCTCAAGTCAGCAAGCTTTGTGTGGAGTGTAAAGGAGGTTGGCCCCTGCCATAAATTTCTGTCTGTGGCCACACACCAAAGGAGAAAAGATTGGGGGTGGGGGAGTAGGAGGGGGGGTGCACAGGGAGGGAGGAAATGGGGGAGGCTGTGGAGAACAGAAAGCAAAGCATAAAACACATAATTTTACTTGATTAAGTTCAGCCCAAGAGAGTAACATTATAAATGACTCTTAATTTCACCAACTCAGGCACTCAGCAGAATTCTATGTTAACTTTGATCTGTTATTTCTGGAATTAAGCTTAATTAAATTAAACTTAACAGGGTTTACACTCTAAGTGTATTGCAAATTTTAAAAATAGAGGGGAAAGTTTATATGGGAAGGATTCCTTTCAAGGCAAAGAAAACCATGGTAAGTTTAGGTTTGTGAAAAAATTGGAAGAAGAGATAAGTTGGCTGAAAAGACAAGGTCAGCAGGCTTTGACTAATTTTTTATGCAAGAACAGAAGCTCATCATTAATTGATTATTAAAACATAGTCATCCAGCTTCAGTAGAGTATATATTGAAATCAATGGATAATGGGACAACAACAAATCATGGAATTCACTTGAGATACTTTTGACAAGCTAAGATATCAAAAGTCTCGTGAGTTCACAGAGTGCTATAGTTCTCTGTATTTACAAAACAGAGTGGTTTAGTAATTGTGCACTTGGGGTCTGACACAATAGGAAAGCATCCTAAGAGTTTTCGGGGGGTGTGGTTACTTAATTTATAGCTTGCTGGGGAAGTTAAAGAAAATGATGCTCAGAGTTCAAAAAGCTCCCAGGTTAAATACAACAGGGGCTAAAGAAGCCTAATGGACTGATTCTTAGAGCTGCCACTAGTGATCTTGTGAGCTGGACATAAACATCTTAAATTCCTGATGTCTCTATTTCCCCCAACTGTGACATCCGTGCAGTATAGAGAGGGAAAGTAGAAGGAATAATAAATGGACTCTTAAAACAGTCTAACGACTATGAGCAGCTTGTCTCCCAACTCTCATTAACCCCCAAATGCAGCAAGACCAAGTTTTCAAAATACCTTCTTCAGTTTTTCAACAAAGTCACTATCAGGTTTGCACGCAGGGAGGGGGATCCGGTGGTTGTGGGACGGACCCAGAGGAGTAAAACCCTGGTTATGGTGATGTGCTGTGTCTCCCTCTCTCAGCCTATGTTTGAAATTCAGAGGAACTTTCTGAGCCCCAAAGGTCAAAGCAGGGGTCCCTCCTTCTGTGAAGCTATCCTGTTCCCACCTTCCTTGGAAGCCTTGAAAGTTCTATACCACTGGCGGCCAAATCACACAAGGCTTTCCAAGCAGGTAAAGCAACTGTTGGCTTTTCAGGAACTGGTCCCAGTCTAAACAAGTTCCTGGAATCGATGGGAAGGAGATTGCTTTTATCATTGGTCTCCTGCAACCTTCACATTGGAATCTCCCTTACCCCTTACCTTGCCCCTTCTCCCCTCACATACCTGGTCAGGCTCTCTGACATCCCCCCTCACTCTTCAACCTATTCTTTCCTTTAGAACACTGGTTCTCAAACTCTACCATGCACAAGTATCATCTGGAGGGCTTGTCTAATGCTCATTGTTAGACCCTCAGCCCCAGAGTTTTTGACTTGGTAAGACTAGGGTGGGACCCAAGAATCTGAATATCCCACAAGTTTCCAGGTAATCTAGACCTGCTGCTGTGAGGTCTCATTTTAAGCATCACTGCTGAAGAACTGCCCTGTTCAACAAAATAGTAGCCCTATCCACATGTGGTCATTTATATAGAAATCGATTTTTAAAAATTTAATAATACTAAGAAATTCAGTTCTTCAATCATACTTGCCACATTTCAAGTGCTGGAAAGCCACAGGTGGCCAGGGCCTAATGTATTGGGCAGCAGAGATATGGAAGATTTCCAACATTGCAGGAAGTTCTGCTGGACAGCCTCCAACTTGCTTTAGGGTAAACAAGTCTCAGGGATTTTACCTGTGTTTTCGAGTTCTTTACTTGGGGCTTCCTGAGGGCGAATTGGCAGTGAGATGGAGGAAAGAGTAGCTTTACCACTCACTGGTCTGTTCCCCTGGGCACATTCATCTCCCTGCACCTTAATTTCCTCATCTGTAAAATGGGGATGATAATGGTAATAATCACTGGAAAGCCATTTTGAGAATTAAATGAGGTGATGCATGTGCAAGCACTTTGTAAAATCCACAGTGATACACAAATTATAGTTTTTATTCCATTCCGCTTTTCCACCTATGCCAAGCCTGCTAATTTAAAATCCCTGACTCACCACTGCATTCTTTCCAAGTATTCACTTTCCTTTGCCTGTAGCCCCCAGTCTACTTAACCCCAGTCTGTTTATTTTTGGGGGGAGGGGTGTAGGAAAAGTGGGGGTTTTGTTATTCTATTAAGCCTCCAAAGATGCCATTATATGTATGTGGATCAGGGAACCTTTCCCAGATTTCTGTTTTGATAGGCAAAGACAATATCTATACATGTACTTTGGGATGACCCAAAAACACATTCTCATGTAAACTGACGAAATAAACTTTAAAAAAGGAGCATTTCAAAATAAAAATGTTACGAGACATGGCAGAAAGAAAACTACTGCTTCTGGCCTACCAAGGATATAATAAATATTTCAGGATGACAGGTTTCTCACTAGACCCACTGACCACCCTTCTCCACTTTTACTTGACTTGGCTTTCCAACGGAAGGTCTTATAGGCAGGCGATGCTTTCTAAAAGCCATTTCCCCACATTAGTCAATCTGGCAGAGCCGACCATAAGGGTAGGGGCTGTCTTATGCTTCAAAGAAATTTAATCTATTAGACCACTTAGAGGCTAAATGCCTTACTTGGGGGTGTCAGAGGAACAGGTGGTGGGGCTCTCCCTACCAGTAACTGCTGCAACCCGGCGCCAATCACATCCTGCAGGTTTGTTTTGTCCTCTGGGCCCACAGCTTGTTTGTACTGCCACTTTTCAGGCACGAAGGGCCACTTCATTTCCTTTGCCTCCTGGATCAGGGTCCTTAACTCGCTGGGGAGTGAAGCTGAAAAGGTCAGAGTTCAGGTAAGGAAATTGCAGTCAAAGAAAAGGCTGTTGATTTACCAATGTTATGATGAAGCACCTCAGTGGCGGCAAAAAAACATTTTTCCTACCTCTTGCTGGCCGGTCTAAAGCTGGTGGTTCTGACTCAAAGAATAATAGCGCAAAGCTATCTGTCAGGGGTGGCCCTGGTCTACTTTGCCCTTCAGGTAAATTGGGGTAGTCAGGCATTAAGAAAGGTTTTTAGCAGGAAGTAAAGCACTTCAGTGACTATCTCTGCATGAAGAATCAGAGAAAGGAATGAAGGAAATATTATTTTCCCTGTAAAATGAGAAAGGGACTGAGATGGAATGACATCTGGGACTTGTGGTAGCTGGGTAAGGCATAAAGTCAATTTGTACAACCTCTTTTTACTTCTCCAAGACCTCACCTCACTTCATTGCATACTTTCACTACGGACTACATTTGAATATAGGTGATTAATAAAAAAAACCCAAATGAAATTTGAAATGGTACCAATTTATTGTGAAATGGCCCTGTTTCATGTTAGTAGATACGTTCGATCTCTTCCTGGGCACCACACCTAATTACGGAGGTCCATGATCTCCTATCCAAACGTGGAAAACCTAAAAAGCTCGGGAAACTAGAATGTTTTTTCTTAAGTTTGGCACCCTAACCAGACTTGAATTGACTAGAGGCTCTTTATGGCTTGTTTATCTTATTTAGTGAGATTAGCCAAAAGTTTTGTTGCAAAAATTTTAATGTTTGACTCTAGATGCTGCCCCAGCTTCTGCTGGAGTATGAATGTAACAGATGGTCCCTGCACCGTACCACCTTCCTAACAATTTGAAAATTCTGAATGCTGAAGCACATGTGAAGCCCCAGCTTTCAGGATTATGGACCTGATTATATGACTGCCCGTTATAAAGCTCTAGGTGCTTGTTTTGCAGACATTTCATACTCAAAAGTATCTGAAGCTGGGGGTGCCTGGGTGGCTCAGATGGTTAAGCATCTGTCTTCGACCTCAGGTCGTGATCTCCATCCAGGTCCTGGGATCAGGCCCTGCATCGGGCTCCCTGCTCAGTGGGGTGTCTGCTTTTCCCTCTCCCTTGCCTCTCCCCTCTGTGTGTGCTCTCTCTCTCAAATGCATAATGAATAAATAAAATCTTTTAAAAAAAGTATCTAAAGCTGAACTCACCATCTTTTTTCTAAATCTGTTTCTCTATTCTTTATTTTGATGAATGCTACCACCATTCACTGAGTCACCCAAGTACAAAACCTAGTCTAGACTTTTTGCTCTTTCTTGCCCCTCAACCTAACTGGTTATCAAATTCTGTAGATCCTAAAATCCATTTCCTCCTTTTCATTATCAGTAACTCTTGTCTGAACCACTTTCCTATCTTGCCCCATCCACTCCAACTTCCACACTGTTGATCCCCATCTTGCTAAAACACAAGATAGACCAGGCCATTGCCCTGGATAAAATTCTTTAATGGTTTTGTATCTCCTGTCCTCACTTTTGCATTGCCCTCCCCCAGTCCTTTCATGATCAAGCTCAGGCTCACTGGCTTCAATGCAAACATGACTACTTCTCATTAGCCTGCCATAACCACCCTGTGGAATTAAAATGTCCCTCCTGAGTGCTCCCAAACCCCAAAATGCATGGCCTTTCAGTGTTCATCCCACTGCTCCATCATCACACTTTCCTCTCATTTTACTGTGAGTTCCCCGAAGACAGACATCATGTCTTATCACTGTTGCAAATCACACCATGACGGTTAAAAGAAGGATTAGTCTTATATCTACATGAAACATGCTAAACAGGACAAAAGAGATATGACAGAGAGAGTAAAAGACAAAAAGAAGAGGAGGAAGAAAACCTAACTCTGCCCTAGTCCACGATGCCCTTCTGTGTCCTTGCCACCAACTGCACAAATGTAGGGAAGACTGCTAATGGGGAAACATTGCTTGGCACTGAGGAGATATCAAATGGGCCACACCAGTGAGCAATCCTTACCGACTACTGAGGATGATTTACAAACACCACACTGAAATCATTGCTCTGTGATTCAGCAACCCAAACCTACTGAGCACTGACTGTGTAGTGCGATCGCACTCCTCCAAAGGAAGCGGAGCCCTGGCATTAGGGACCCACGTGGTCATAATCTGCTAGGAAGCCTGGCCCTCTGACGGCCAAAAGTGTTCCAATATATTTATGTAGAGAAAATTTCTCTCTCTCTTTTTTTAAGATTGTATTTATTTATTTGAAAGAGAGAAGGGGCAGAGGGAGAGGGAGAAAGAATCTGAAGCAGACTCCACACTGAGCTCAGAGGCTGATGCAGGGCTTGATCCCATGACTCTGAGACCACGATCTGAGCTGAACCTAAGAGTCGGCTGCTTAACCGACTGAGTCACCCAGGTGCCCCTAAAGAAAGTTACTTAAATGATATTTGTAAATAGTCAAGAATAGGATGACTCTTAAGTCTTGTTCACTTAGGACAGTCCTATGTGTTCCTAGTGGACTTCTTTATATTGCTCCTTCTCGCTCTCAAGTGTCCCATTTGATTGACAAATTATTTGAACATTTTGTCCAAGAGTATCAAGCTCAGGAGTCAAATGAGTAGTCAAATGACAACAGGAATCTGATTTCTAGATTCAAAGAGTTTCACCATACATTGGCACGGAATAGTTTAAATATTTTCAATTTTTTTCATGATGACAGAGAAAAATCTGTTCTACACAACTCATTTTTGCCTTCCTCATTCCACCCTCTCCCTGCGGATCATGCCAGAGCATGGAGAGTCCAGTGTGGCATACCGAAATAAGTGATGCCTCTGAAATACATTTTAAAAATGTATCTGTGTTTAGATTTCGGTTCCTTCTCTATTTCTGAGGAAGTTGCTAAGGGTAGTCTCCCATGCTGACAAGGACAATTTCTGAGGGAAGAGGTTAGGATGGAGAGGAGGAAGGGAAAAAATAAAATCACAGTGATCATGTTCAAGTCCTCTGACTTGTCCTGTCACCATAGGTGACCCTGTACTAATGTCTTTCCCTTGGAGTACATGCAAGCGACAACTTTGGTGACAGCACAACCCGCCCACCAGTATTACTCAGAAATCACCTGCTGAGGGAAGAACTTGGTGCTCGGACTGCATTTAGTCGTACTGATGGCGCGTGGGGTGGACCCCGCAGCTAGCCTCCATGGGGATGGATTAATGCTGAGATTGTCAATGGCTCAGCGTAGATTTCCTCCCCCATTGGCTTATCAGATTCAGCCAAGCCCATCAGTCAGCCCCTGACAGAGCAGTACCCTCTACTGCCTCTCTGATCACTTCCTTCCCCAAGCAGCTTACCTGAAGGGCCGTTGCTAATTGAGTGATTTTGTGGCCCTGATGTGCCTTATCTAGAACTAAACTGATTATTTCTCCTATTCTACGGCACTTGGGAAGAAAAAGAAGAAAATGCTATCCAACTGGGGGCTCTGAGTTTTCACGAGGGAGAACACAAAACTTAAAGGAATTTGGGCTGAGTAGACAAAGGATGTCATGTAGTAAAAGGACAAGAGGAGAAACTTCAGTAGATAGAACACAACACACTGCCCCTGGGGAGAACTGCAGCACGTTCTGGAGGTGCTAAGTACCTGCCGCTCCCTGACAAGGGGCTAACACCTGCCAGTGTGTGCTCAGGCTGATGGGCACATATAACTAGCTAGCAAAATCACACAGTGGTGTATCTGGTTAGTAAATAAGGAAATCACATAAACTGAGGTGTTGTGAAACAATGCGACATACGACATTTTATCTTGAAAGGTGCATAAATGACAGATTAGAAAAATTTAAGACCTCGTACCTAAAGGTGCCTCTGTAAAAAATGTGTGTGCCCATATACAAGAATGTGGAGGGAAAGGCTTCTCCAGAACCTTTCCCCATTACATAATCATCAACAACAAAAGAGATGGGGAGTGTGCATTTTATGTGATCATCTTATTTCTGCAAGGAATAGCAAATCACTAAAAATACAAAGAAAAATATTAACAGCACATAAAAGGGACACACTTATAGAAACGGAGGAACATTTATTCAAATGCTATAAAGATATCTAAGGAAAGAAGATTCTCTCTTCAAAACTGGCTATGGGGGAGATGAGAAATACTTCAACTTTCCAGACTTTATGATCAAAACTTCCCAAACAATGACCTATCTAAAACTGTGAATGGCATAAACTATGAAATGAGCAAAAGGCCAATTCAATTCTGATAATGATGCAATCAGTATTTATCAGTGTGAGAGGATTTATTTTACAAACAGCATGTGAATACAGCATGAGAAATGTATCGATAATCAAAAAAAGAGAGACCGGACCAATGAGATGACATATTTATGGAAACCATAGAAGTCTATGGAAACCGATGAGGCACAAAAGCCTCATTTGAAAAAAAAGTATGTGCCACTATTCAGAAGTTGCTTCAATTTTTTAATAATTGAAATTTACGTGCACCGGCAGACTTGCACCCTTTGTTCTTCTTGAACTAAACTGTTTTCTTGTGGCCTCATGTTTACTGAAGCCTAAAATTAGAACTGACAGCAATTCACTGCAACAAAGTGGGTTTCCTCCCCTGCCCGTCCGCCTGCAGCCCATGTCCCATTCATGCCCTAGAAATCCACTCATCTCTCGGTGGTCATCTGCCAAGAGAAGAAAAATAGGGCAGAGATGAAAACATGTCGTTCAGGCAGGCGAGTTGAGAGCGAACCTGCTGGCTTTTCCCTCCCCCCAGTGCCTCCCATCAGGACCTCACCTCTGCACTGCTGGTCCTCGCTCTTGTCCTCCTTCGACACATCTGACGCCTCCAATAAGAGCTGGTCCAGCACTTGCTTGCACTCTTGCAGTAGTGTAGCTACAGCTTTTTGATTATTCATGATGATCACTCTTCCTCAACGATGAGTCAAGTGTCCCTGGGTCTATGGTGATCAATTACCCAGAAGAAGACATCGATTCTCAATAAAAGAGCCCCTTCAAGGCGGAGGTACCTGGTGAACAAAAGCGGGAGAAAGATGATTAACTGAAGCATCATCAATTATCTGTAAGGCTCAAGCAGGGAGGGATAATAGGGCAAACACATGAAAATACATGACAGCCCCGGAGGACTTTATTAGGGGAGTGTGTGAAATTACTGCAGGGCCTGGTCTAGATGGGCAGCACCTCGAAGGCGTCAGAGAGCAGAAGGGACAGGCTCCTGGTGCAGACCTTGGTTACCCACAGTGATGTCAGTGGAATCCCCACGAAGCCAAATGAAATGAATATACCCCATGATTTATGTATCTTCTGCATACTTCACATCAGTACCTCTGGATCCCAGTGGCACCACACTTTCTGTCTCTCTGGAAGTCTACAGGAAGCATCTGGCTAACAGTTCTAATATTCAGTTATAAGCACATGGTGATATGAAGTTTACCATTCTCATAACCTGCTATTGATTTCCCCTGTGAAGTATTCTTCATGGTATTTAGCATCATATAATTTGGACCAAGATAGACAACGACAGATGCCAAATTTAAAGCTCTTCACAACCAGGCACCTTGCCAAATAAAACAGAGAAATGATATCTCAGAAAACCCAATTTCCTAGATCTATCATATGGATGAATTTATCATATGGATGGATGAATCTACTTACATTGCTATTTAACATATGTACAGTAGAGAGATTTCATATGTAAATATGAATATACTGTAATGATCTATGACAGTCAAGGTAATTTCAAAAACAAAATAAATTACTGACAGTACAAAAGTGCCTGGCAAATAAATACCGGAGAGTTACTAGATTAACAAATCTTTTGTCTGTCTTCCCTTTATTAAAGAATGTACATTGTGAACAAAACGAACTTCCTTTTGTTTTGTTTACAATGAACAAAGGAAACAAAGAAACTCTTCCTGAGTTTGCCAGGATAGATTGTGGAGTTGCCCTCTGGTTTAGACACTCTTATAGGGTACCTTGAACTTTATTGCCAAAGCAAGAGAGTCTGAAAGGGAGGAAAGCAACAGATAAATGGATGGCTCTTGTTCTTTGTCTCCCAGCTTATACTCGCGATGAGGTAATCATCGAAAATATTAAAGCAGTGTAGGTGTTGGGATAAAAAAGCCTCACTTCGAGAAGCTAGTTTTGAATTTTAAATAGCAAGAAAACATTTTCTCTATCTTTTTTTTTTTCTATTCTAAGACTTAACAGGAACACAGAATGGAAGACGAGCTAATTGTGTAACCTACACTTTTCATTTTTCACTCTAACCTGACTGGTATAGTCCATATGCTTTGGATTTTTAAAAACACACACACATTCTTTACACGGATAAACTGCCAAAGCTAAGTTTTCGGATGTTATAGGCTTGTTTCTTTAAAACAATTGTGTAGTGTTGGTGAAGAACACAAGTAGAGTACTTGAATACAAAATTCTTGTTACTTGAAAGAGTATTCATGAAAGTGAGATTGTGAGGAATTAGTTACTGGAAGCATTTAAGCATAACTATAAATTAAATCACTCTTCTGTTTAATATGTTTCAGAAAGTATTCCTGCATGGTTTGGATTGTTGGACTAAATGGTTTTCAATGTCCCTTTTTTAGCTCAAGTGTTAAGTCAATGTTGTGTAGTAAGAGCTGGCCATTAGCTTGCCTTTCTACGAAAGGAAGTAAGAAATAAGGGCTGGTCAGAGAGCTAATTAGTAGACTAGTGTGAGCAAGAGGCCATGCAGCAATGGCATTCCATTTCCAGCATTCCTGAAAAAAGCGAGATGTAGCTAGAACGGGAGCTTAGTACGGAGATTGAGAAATGCAGGTGATGATTGAGAAAGTTAACAAACATTGCTTGAAATTAGCTATGCATGAATAAGACACATTCACTTTTCTTCAAATAAAAGCAAGAAAGGGGTTCTCTTTGCAAGTTGTTTTTAAGGACTTCATGTAGAAAGAGGGATATAATAAGAAAATATGAAGAGTTCATGCACAGAGAAATAAACTGTACTGTAATATAATTTTAATAGCACATCACCCCTTTGTCTAAAGGCTTATAGTAATATTTTATTGGTGCCATATCATCCTCTTAAGGTAGAAAGTAACCAATTGAAATAAATTTTAATTGCTCTGTTTCTGTAAATGTTTAAACAGAAATAGCATGTAGTAATGAAAAGCGGACTTGGATATAAGAAAACTGTTACACATAATAGTGTTCAACGGATATTTATGACTAATTCTACTTCATTCTCTATCATTAACTATTTGTGAGACCTCTGAGATTCACTTTTGAGACTCATTTTTCTTATCTGTATTTTATGGGGGTTAAGTGGGAACAATTGCCAATATCTTTCCAGGTCTTAAATTACATACTCAGCAGCTTGTCTGTTGCTGAGGAATATCTGATACTTATTTACTGAATAATTCCTGGCTCTTTTGAGAACACTCAAGTATATTATTTTTATGTATACTTTTCTCTGTGGTTTAGAAATGTTGGCTTGAATCTTAGAGGTTGATTACTAAATAAATATAACTCTGCTTTTGTTCCCTCACTTGAAACCCCAATGCCTAATGAACAGGATCATAAATCTCTTCCTTTTGTCTAAGTGCTGTGAAAGAGAGATAAGCTATGTGGTTCTGTGAGGACAAACAACAGGACTTGACCTAATAATTTGGGTAAAACGAGAACAGGTGAATGGGGGATTCCCTGAGGATGTGATGCTGGAATTAAACTCTGTAAGAAGAACAGGGCTTAATGAAGTTAAAATGGTGAGGAATGGACTTAATGTAGAAAGAAATATAGAGGAAATGAAAGAAGGCCAAATTAGTTGAACTAGGGATAAAAGGAGAAAGTTGATATGAGGTGAGTTTGGAGAGCTAAGTAGGGGCTGTTCAGGGCTCTGTATGGCAGGTAAGGAATTTTGTGTTTACCCTAAGAGTCATAGGAAACTACTGGTAGCAGGAGGAACATGACCCCAGATTTGCATCTGGAAAAAATTCATTCTGTTGTGGCTGTAGTGTGCACTGGGGGAAGAGAGGAAGAAGGTGATTGCAGGTAGATCAGTTGGGCATTTATTGCAACAATCTAGGTGAAAAATATCATTAATGTGGACCAGAGTCATAGAGATAGAGAAAATTGGACAAATTTGGGGGCTGTTTAGAGAATAAATGCAGTGTTGCTATTGGATGGATATGAATGGTCTTAAAAATGAGTCCCAAGTTTCTCCTTCACCATAGCTCAAAGGTGAATGGACAAGACATAAATACATCTTAGATTTTGTATTTCTAGCAATAAAGATAGTAGAAAGATAAGTCCTACTGTCAAGAGTAATTTTGATTTTATTGGGATGAATTTGATTTTAACCAAGAAAGTATTTCTAAAAAAAGAAAAAAGAAGAGATTTTTGAGATAATTAATGTTCAGTACTTGTGACTTCCAAAAATGTACTGAAAATATTCTTTATACTTTTTGAAAGTTATAGCATTTTCTCTTTTCCCTGTAGAGTTCAGGAGAGACAATAGGAAGAAAATACTGTAACATGAGAAACACTTTGGAATCCAACCATCTGTCCAGACTTGTATGGTTCATTGTTAAGCATAACAGAGGCTGGAGCCTAGGAAATTTTCCTTCAGGCAACAGTCCTGCTGGAAATTTTGGTCAGCTTCTTTATAAAAGAATCATTTTCAATTTCAACACGTATCAATTTTTGCTCCCTGAACTGTGGCATTCTGTGAACTCTACCTGTTTCTAAATTGAATCATGTTAGTTCCTATATTTTTTTGCAATGTATGGATTATTTTTTCTATTTTGACATCCCCCTATGTATTTTTCTCTAAAAATTAAATAGAAAGAGGCCAGCAAAAGCAATAGAACATACAAACAGATACCCCTAGAATAACACTAGATACCCAACAAAGTTAGAATCTAAGACACACATGCACACACATAGCCAAGTGGTCATGTGTTCATACATTCCATGTTTGCTTTTGATACATGTATACTTTATTTCTATTGGTGACCTAGAATTTAACTGAGTGGCTGAGTTATAACTGACAAATCAGCCATCATTAAAAGTAAGCAAATCAGTGGATTATTCAAAGCCCCATTTCTTTTGGCATTTGTGAGTCTTTTTCTTTGGACAATTAGTGCCAAGGAAATGGGGGTAAATCAGGGAAAATAAAAGAATTCCAAATGTATTCCATGGTCTACAGGCTGCCATCTCTGTAATAATCCATTGGCCAACCAGTCATAATCATTAAGCTAGAAGATGTGGGGAAGCATAAAGAAGTAGAAGAGATGGCCTACACTGCCAAGTAGTTTATAATACAATTATAAGAATAAGACATAAATACATTTAAAATGAACTACACAAGGCATACTAAACATGATTATAGTCCAAAAGCTCAGTTTAAAATATCTTTGTTGGAATTCAGTTAATGATTGGTTAAATTCATAAGCAAAGCCACAGAGCTCATTTAATTCATATGTACATGAATAACTATGCTAAATATACTTTTACATCTACATTCAAAATCAGTTATCGTATTGTTTCTATGAGAAAATGTATTCTGGTCTCCAACATAGAACAACAAGAATGCATTTCTCCAGTCTGTCACTAGCAATGACAACCCAGCTTTTTCCACCTTCTCACCCTCCCCTGAGCAACTGCCACACACAAACTCTGACCATAGTGCCTCTGGTACTAGTTGGTGCAAGTGGGGAAACAAAAGGAGAAAGGGAAGTCTGATTGGAGTGCAAGACAACTGTGAGGCTTGGATAGGTATGTCTGGGTAATGGCCATTGTTAGCATTTTAGAACTGAATAAAAAGGGAGAAGAAGGGGCGCCTGGGTGGCTCAGTCAGTTGGGCATCTGCCTTTGGCTCAGGTCATGATCCCAGGGTCCTGGGATCGAGCCCCACATTGGGCTCCCTGCTCAGCCAGAAACCTGCTTCTCCCTCTCCTGCTCCCCCTGCTTGTGTTCCCTCTCTAGCTGTCTCTCTGTG